CCCTCAGGCGAAGCGCAAGCTTTGGCACCCCCAGCGCCTTGTTTTTGAGAGCCCCACGGGCATCGCCGATGCCGCAGGCACGACACGTGGACTCCGGAGAGGGAGCCGCCAGGGGGGTATGACCCTGGCCCCTTCGCGCCCAGATCGCGAGGACGTCTCCTGCAGAATGGCCGCTTGGGGGGTGGGGGGGGCATTGCCGTGTTTCTGTTGAGCCACATGACCATCGCGGCGTAGCAGGCATGGCACTTGGGCATCCCAGGGCTGAGCCGCTGGTGGGTATGACATTGGCCCATTATCGCCAAGACTGCGAGGACGTCCCAGGTAAATTGCCGTTCGTTTGTCTCGGCGGGGGCAGACATGTGCCTTTTCTGCAGGGCCGCGTTGCCGTCGCAACGTGATGCAGCGTGCGTGGCAGTTGGTCATCCCAAGGCGGGGTCGCCAGGGGGTATGACACCGTTCCATTCGGGTCCAGTCTGCGGAGACGTTTCTGCTTTTTTTGCAGGGAGGGATGTGTGTGGTACTTTTCCGAACCACATGATCATCGCGACGTAGCAGGCAGGGATGGCACTTGGGCATCCTGAGGGGGGGCCGGGCCGCGAGGGGGTATGACATTTGGACCGTTAGCACCCAGATTGTGGGGACGTCTCAGGTACCAGTGCAGTTTTGGTGGTGTACGAGTTCTTCTCGGAGCCTCATTGAACCTTTTGATGTAGCAGGCATGAGATTCATTCGAAAGAGGGGCCACCAAGGGGGGTGCCACTCGTACCTATGCTCACTGACAGTCAGACACACTGGTACTCAGTGACTCAGACTTGCTCAAATTCAGACACCCGTGGAAAGGAGCAGAGGTCCACATGTGGGGATCTCCGCGTCGAACAATTTCCTGAACGCTCCGCTTGGCTGTAGATACCTCTGCGCTGCAGCCGAGCGACCTGATCGATGCCACGGTCGGAAGTGGTTTGAAACGTTGGCCCGTGATCGAGATAGCGCGAGTGGGGAATCCAGAGTCCGAGTTCGAGAGTCACGTCGGCCACGTTTGAATGCTCGTTGCCCAGGCTGCAATGGTAGGGTAGGTTCGCGTCGTGTCGACCGGCGGCGACCGCGCCGCCGGCGTTCAGCGTTGAACGCTGCTGGCGTCCCAGAATCGGTGGATGTTGAACGGCCTGACGATTCTGAGACGGCCGATCGTTTGAGGTTGAACGATCCCCGCAGTGTCAGGAACCAACGCTGGGGTCGACGCGTCACGAACCCGCGGTACTGGTGCGTCGTTCGGACTGCGGTGACTCCCCGTCCGCAGCTCCTTCGCTGGCCGAATCGGACCGCTGGTACCCGATGGCCACCCCGGATGTCCCCGCTGCTCCGCACCCCACCCGCTGCGTGGACGCCGCACAGTCGCCGTGCAGTCGGACCGAGGTGTAAGATCGAGGTCGGCTCGGGGAGGGCACCCTGATGTCCTTCGTTCCCGTTTGATGATCTTGTGCACCCTGGGGAGGGTACTTACCCTTGGATGCCCTGTGAGTTTTGGCCGGCGGAGGGTCTATGTGCTTGAAGGATGTTTTTCTGGCCTAGGTCCGACTGCAATGTGGAAGCCCATGCCAAGAAACACCCTGCTTACCTCCAGTGTGCCCTGGGTTTCTTAGGTTTCGATGGTTTTGCTATGGAAAGCGTGACGCTCCCACACCAAAAATCAATGGACGTCATGGGGTCTTAGGGTTGGATTTCTTGTGGAAGGTTTCTTGTGGATGAGATCCTGTTGTGTTCGGCTGATGGGACCTGGCGGCCACCTCTTGGACTGCTCCTCTTGGGGCGATGCCCCCCCCCCCCGCTGGAGAGTTTCTCTCCGTCTCCTGGGCCGCGCTCCTTGTCGCTCGCCTTGCCCCGCTTCGGTTCCCCTCGGAGGTGTCGAACTGCCCCCAAAACTTTCATCACCGACGCGAGGACGCCGCCATCGTCGTCGGCGTGATCAGCATCGGCGCCGTCACTGGCTTTGCCGTCGTCGTTGTCGCCATCGTCACCAGCATCGCTACCATATCATCGCGCCCACCTTTGTCAACGTTGCCATGATACCGCGCCCGCCCAAGTCACCGACTCGCAGTGAAGTGCCCGCTGGGAGGTGTGCAGGGGTCAGCGCCACCGCGGCCGCGTCGGTCGCGCTAAACTTGCTGGCCGCTGCGCGCGCGAGCATGCGCGGGCGAGCGCGGCCGCAGAGCTGCACTAGCCAACTCCAGGCACTCATCGCAATCGACGCCGCTTGGGTTTTGCAAGCCAAGTTGCGGGTGGGTGGGTGGGAAGACTGCGCGAGCAGTGGAGTTGACAAATGCTGACAACTTCAAGTTCGGCAGGGTAAACTATGCTGCTATTCGCCGCTCTAAAAAAGAATTCGGATCCCCCCCACCACCCTGCTTTATCGGTACACCTTTGTGTTTCGCGAGTTACGTATGATTCTACCCATCGTCCATCCTAAATATAAGCTCGTACCATCCCAGCCGAGCGGGGCTCGACCCCCCCACCATCCGAGCCTTCTGCAACAAATACTATGCGCGCACACGTTTATCAAATAATCAGAAGTTCCCAAGAATGTTTTGCAAACGAGTTAGATGAAGTGCACGCGCGCGTCGTCGCGCGCGCGTGCCGAAATCCCTCAACAATTCTCGGTCCCGGAAGGATGTTAAAATCGAGTGCGCAAACACATGTAACAACAATGAGAAAACATGGATTCGCAGCACGAGTTATCAAACAAAAAACAAACGCGCAAGCGCGCTCTTGCGATACATTTATATACACACATAACACATCGGTGTTTCAACATTTTCTGAACATGCTACCACATGGGGTGCGCGCGCATGCCGAAATCGTTCGAACGCCTTTGCGCGCGTGCCGTCGCGAGACTCCTGTACAACAAGTAGGGACGAAGTGCACACGCGCGCGTCAGCGCGCGCATGCCGAAATTCTTCAAAAACCTTTCGTAGCGATTCCAAGACCGAGTGCCCCAACAACATTCAAAAACACATCGTTTCGCAACACCAGTTTTCAAGCACAACTTGCGCGCGCGCTCTTGCGAATTTTCAGGGAAGCCATCGATGTTTCAACATATTCGTGGAATTTTGCGAAACCGGCCTCTGGCGCCGCATGCCGACATCATTCGCACGCTTTTGCGCGCGTGCTGGGGGTGGGGGGGCGATCCGTGTCACATAAAACAATGCGGGCCACTCGCGCGTCGGCCGCGTGCACATGTCGAACTTTTCCCAACACCTGCATCACCGACGCGAGGACGCCGTCATCGTCGTCGGCGTGATCAGCATCGGCGCCCGCACTGGCCGCGCCTTCGTTGGTGCGAACAACGTCACCAGCACCGCTGCTATCATCATTGTGTCTACCGTTGTCGGCGTTGCCATGACAAGTTCGTCCCATTTGTTTGCAAGTGGTCATCGCAAACGTGTTTACGGTTTTGATAAAAGAGTGCGCGCATATGCCGAAATCTTTCAAGCCCACTATATATATTATATATATATATATATATATATATATATATATATAAGCACATGGTTTCGCAACGCGGGTATGCAAAAAAAACGTGCGCGCTCCTGCGAATCCTCAAAAAAACAATTGGCTTGTCTTAGACATTTCCAGAGCAAACCACCAAACGGGCCTCGCGCGCGCATGTCGAAATCGTTCGAACGCCCTTGCGGGCGTGCCGTCGCGAGAATATGTTGCACCATCTGTGACGCACTACACGCGCGCGCGTCGTCGCGCGCGCATGCCGAAAACTTTTGTGTTACAAAGCTTTCGGCTTCACAGCGCTTTCAACACTGAGTGTCCAAAGCAACATTCAAACACAGGGTTTCGCAACATCAGTTGTTTAAAAAACGTGCGTTCGCGCTCTTGCGATATGTATATACAGAGAGAGAGAGAGGAAAAGAGAGAGAGGGAGAGAGGGATCTATAACGCCGTCATCGTCGTCGGCGCGATCAGCATCGGCGCCGTCGTTGGCCTTGCCGTCGCCATCGCCACCATCGTCACCATCGTCGCTATTTTCATAATCGTGTCTACCGTTGTCGGCGTTGCCATGATACCGCGGCCGCCCAAGCCGCCGACTCGCAGTGAAGTGCCCGCTTGGCGCCACCGCGGCCGCGTCGGTCGTGCCAAACTAGCTGGCCGTTGCGCGCGCGTGCTAGGGCTGGCGCGGCCGCGAAGATGCACCAGCCAACGCCAGGTATGCATCGCACTCGTCACCGCATGGGTTTATGCAAACCAAGTAACGGGTGGGTGGGTGGGATGTTTGCAAGAGCATGGGAGGGATGTGTCAGTTCGTTTGTTTAAATCAGTTCTCCTTTCTGAGAAGAGAATAGACCCCCCCCGTGCATTAGCACTACCCCCGCGTCTTGTGTAAATCACGCATGATTCTGACCACATGTCCATTTTAACTATGAAATCACAATGTCCCAGGCCAGCCGGGTTCACCCCCCTGAGGTTCCCGGGTAATCCCGGGTAAACAAAAACACTATGCGGTTACATTTTTTGTTCTGGCATGACATTTTTTCACGAATCCCTTGTAGATAATACCATAAGGCGCACATGCGCGCGGCCGCCGCGCGAGCATGCCGAAATCCTTCGAAAACCTGTGGTGTCGGAAGGATTTCGCAATCGAGCTCCCAAAAAACATACAAACACACAGGGTTTCGCAACACTGATTTGCTAAAAAAGCTTACGCGCGAGCTCTTGCGAAATCTTCAAAAAGGCCATTGGTTGTTTTCCAAGATTTCCACAACATGTTGCCAAACGGGTTTCGCGCGCGCATGTCGAAATCTGTCGAACGCCCTTGCGCGTGTGCCGTCGCGAGAATCCTTTGCAAAAAACGGGACGAAGTGCAGACGCGCGCGTCGTCGCGCGCGTATGCCGAAATCCATCAAAACCCATCGGTTTCGGAATGATTTCAAAATCGCTTGCCCAAAAAACCTACAAAAACAAAAGGTTCCGCAACACGGATTTTCAACAAAAGCGTGCGCGCGCGCTCTGGCGTCGTCGTCGTCGTCGTCGTCGTCGCCGTCCTCCCTCCCGCGTCGTCGTCGTCGTCGCCTACGTCGTCCTCTGTCTTTCCTCGTGTTCGTCGTCGTCGTCCTCTTTGGCGTCGTGGTCGTTTCCGTCGTCGTTGTCGCCGTGGTCGTCCTTCCTCCTCCTCCCTCGTCGTCGTCGTCGTCCGTCGTCGGCGTCTCGTCGTCGTCCCTCCTATTTCGTCGCCGTCGTCGTCGTCGTCGTCGTTGTCGTCGTCGTCGTCGTCTTCCCTCCTCCCTCGTCGTTGTCGTCGTCGGCGTCGCCGTCCTTCCTCCTTCTTCGTCATTCGCGTCGTCGCCGTCCTCCCCCCTCCCCCGTCGTTGTCGTCGTTATCGTCGTTGTCTTCGTTGTCGCCGTCGTCGTCCTCCCTCCTCCCTCGTCGTCGTCTTCGTTGGCGACGTCGTTGTCGTCGTCGTCGTCGTCGTCGGCGTCGTCGTCGTCGTCGTCATCGTCGTCGTCGGCGTCGTCGTCGTCGTCGTCGGTGTCGTCGTCGTCGTCGGTGTCGTCGTCGTCGTTGTCGTCGTCGAAGTCGTTGGAGACGTCGTCGGTGTCGTCGTAGTCGGTGTCGGCGGCGCCGTCGTCGTCGTTGTCGCTGTCGTCGTCGGCTTCGGTGTCGTGGCCAAGTGTCATGTGGTACCTACCGTCACGGTCTTGTCTTAAGAGGTCTTGCGACCAAGTTGCGGGTGGGAGGGTGGGATGTTTGCACGAGCAGTGGAGAGAACAGCTTCAAGACGGTCAAAGTGAATTGCACCACATAGATTGCACCACGCGGATTGCACCACGTCGACTGCACCACAGTGATTGCACAGCGTAGGTTGCACCACGCAGATTGCACCACGTAAATTGCACACCGCTTGCACCACATATGCTGCACCACATGAGCTGCCCCACACGTTTTGTACAACCTAAATTGTGTAACGTTGATTGCACAACATAGAGTGCACAGCATGGACTGTTCCACGTAGATTGCGCCACATAGGTTGGTCCACATTGACTGCGCAACATTGGTTGCTCGAAACCATGTGTTGGGCCCACGGTGGTATTGGAACATGTATGTGCATATGTACGTATGTACATGTCTACGTAGATATGTATGTATGTATGTATGTATGCATGCATGCATGCATGCATGTATGTATGTATGTATGTATGTTTGTATAGGCATATGGGTATGCATGTGTATCCCTCTCGTCTTATACATGCCAATCGTATTTTCTATAACTATATGTGCATCTATGTGTGTCCGTTCTCTTCCTCTCTCTCTCTCTTTCTCCTCCTCTCCCCCTTCCCCCGGGCCCACTACTTGGGCTAAGGCGCCCCAAAGCCAAATCACTTCAAGTCCTCCGTCCCCTCTCCTCCGTCCCCCTTCCTCCGTCCTCCCTTCCTCTTTCCTTTCCCACCCCCCTCCCTCCTCCCCCTCCTCCGCCGCCAGGAGGCGAGCCGTTTGCCTTCGGTGCTGCTGGCGCCCCGGGCCATTCCATTCCCGCCGGGCCGCTCGGGAGGCGCGACTCCTGCGCGGCCCGCCTCGTGGTCTGCCTCTGCCCGGCCGTGGTGACAGCCGTCGCTGCCCCCCCCCATCCTCCGTCCTCCTCCTCCTCCTCCTCCTCCGCCTCCTCACTCCCTCGCTCCCTCCCTCCATCTCTCCCTCCCTCCCTCCCTCCCTCCATCCTCCCCCTCCTCCCCCTCCTCGTCCTCCTCGTCCTTCTCTCTCCCCGTCTGTCCTCCTTTCCCTCCGCCTCCGCCTCCTCCTCCTCCTCCTCCTACTCCTCATCACCCCCCCGTCTACAGGGACTACTAAACACTTACCCAAGATGAGTACTACTCTCCTCTCTCCCCGGGTCACGTCCTGAAAGTCTCGCGCTATCTCCGTGCACTGCGGTTTCAACCGGATTCCCAAACATGTTATTTTCGCATGTTGTTTGCAATTGGAGCGTTTTCGTTGTTTCACAGCGTGATCCCGCTGCAGCGTTGGCCTCAGTTCAAGATCGGCGTTGTGCTCTCGTCGTTTAGGATGGCGCTCTCGCCCCAGCGCGTGTCACATTTCTGGATCCGAGTGTTTCCTTGTCCTTATCGTCCTTCTCCTTTCCCCTCCTCCGCCTTCCCCTGGTCCTCTTGCTCCTCCTGCCACTCCTGCTCCTGCTGTTGCTGTTGCTGTTCCTTCTAATCATCCTCCTCCTCTGCCCTCATCCTCCTTCTCTTCCTCTGGCTCATCCTCCTGCTTATCTGCCACCTCCTCCTCCAATGTACAGTTCCCCTTTTCAGATTGAGCATGACACGATGGGGGTCCTTTTGGTGGGTTCCAGGTTCGTTATGACACCTGTCGGCGGATCGGGAAAGTTCAGCGCAACGGGAGTGGATGGGTGCGTGGTCGGATGTCAGATGTGGCGGGGGCGCACCTCGCTTGATATGAATACTGTTCTCCTTTCTCCCCAGATTCTGTGGAGCGGGGCCCCTTTTTCTCCGGCATATGGTGTGTTTGCGCGCATGGGACATGATTTCAAACATTGATGCTTGATGTGTTGTGTTCGGTCGAACATGTTTGGTTCTTCCAGATAGTGTTCTCTAACTTCAAGATTGGCGCATTGCTCTCGTCGTTTAGAATGGCGCTCTCGCCCCAGCGCGGGCAACAGTTTTGGAGCCGAGTGCTTCCTTATCGTTGTCGTCCTTCTCCTTTTCACTACCCTTCCCCTGGTCCTCCTCCTCCCGCTGCTCCTGCTCCTGCTGCTGCTGTTCCTCCTCTCCCTCCGCCTCCTTCCGCATCTTCCTCTTCTTCCTCCCGCCCATCCTTCTGGTCATCCGCCACCTTTCCGTCCTTTTCCTCCAATGTACGCAGCTTCCCGATTGCGACTGCGCGCAACACAATGGGGTCACTTGGGGGGTTACAGGACCGTTCTGACAACCGCATGTGGTCATCGGCAGTCAGCGCTATGGGAAGTGATGGGTGGAAGATGTATGCCCTCCTGCATCCATGAGCTCCGCAGGTGGCGCAACTGGTAAGGAAGTCACGCGTCGGCCTGGCCCAAAATAGACCCGAGCGCCACCCCGAGTGGCTCCGTGTGACCTCGGTGAGTTGCGTCGCGTTACTCGGGAAAGTCGCCCACACACAATCCTCCTCCTCTTCCTCCTCCTCCTCTTCCTCCTCCTCCTTCTCTTCGTCCTTCTCTCTTCCCCCTCTGTCGTCCTCCTCCTCACCCTTCATTTCTTCCCCCGACTCCCTGTCGGGGGGCCTGGCTGGGGATGGAACCCAGCCGCGAAACGACACTTCAATAGAGAGAAAGGCCCAAGCAGTCGCTCGAACGCAACATGTCAAGGCAGTGCGCTGGTGTGCGAAAGCAGAGAAGGACGAATGTGGCTCTCTGTGTTCATTATTCCTTGCCATCCATGATCTACCGTACTTATCTACTCTCCACTCTGCGCCCTCCCCGCCTACATCAGATATGTACCCCTCCGCTCTCTACTCTTTATCTTCTACTCTCCAATATCACATATGTATTGCTTGCCCTCTACCCTGTGTTACTCGCTTTTCTACATTGCTGTCTGCTCTATGTTTTCTGCCTTCGATTCATTATACACAGTTCTCTACTCTTCGCTCTATCCTCTCCCTGCTCTGTCTACCCTGTCTACTCTATCTATCTATATTTCTCTTTGTTTGTTTGTTCTCTCTCTCTCTCTCTCTCTTTCTCTCTTGCTATAAATACATGTATGTGTTGGATCGCTTCGTTGATTCCGCCAGCCCGTATTTATTTTCACATCGTTGGCGTTTGCGTGCGCGTTCGGGGGCCATGCGGCGTTGCTGGTCGGCGCTGCTGCTGTTGTGGGTGAGAGTCCTCATGGATGTTTCTTGGTGTCTCTTCGGAGGGTTCTGGGGGGGCTCCTGTGTAGCAGTTTTAGGGGCTCTTGTGGGCCTCCTGGGGGGCGCCTTGGATGCCGCTTAGGGCTCTCTTGGCGCCTCTTGGGGGCCTCTTGGACCTTCGTGGGGGGCTCTTGGGGGCAACTTGGGGCAACCTGGATATCTCTTGGGGCCGAGCGCTCGACATGCCCGTTGGGCTTCCTCCTTCTGGGCCCCATCTTGTGGTCGTCCTGGGGCCCTCTCTGTCCGTTTTTGATAGTTTTTGAGGCCTCTGGGACCGTTTTGGGGCCCTCTTGGGCCGTGGTGGGGTTCTTTTGTAGGCCGTCTTGGAGCGATCTTAGGGGCTTCTTGGGCTGGCTCCAGGCATCGGCGGCCGAAAATGTGAGAACGAAGAAAACTTAAAAAAACAAATGGAACTTCGTTGAATTTTGCCTCTGGGCGGCTTCTTGGGCATGTCGTTGGAGGCATCTTCGGGCGTCTTGGAGGCGGTTGAAGCCGTCTGGAGGCTATTCTGGACATCTTGGAACGACTTCCGGTGATTATGGGCCCTCTTAGACCGCCTTGGGGACCTCTTGAGACGCTCTTGAAGGCCCTGGAAGCAGCCCCCAGGGTTTCCGGCATCCGTGACGGGGACCGCCCGGGAATTGCATGGATTTTTTGTTTCGTCCGGGGGCCCCCAGGGGCAGCCACCGCGTGCGAACTAGAAGTATTCTAAACTTGTTGCCAGAGATTTCAGCACGCCTTTGGCCCGTTGGGCCGGCGTTCTTATTTATCTACTCGCTCTGATAATTACCCCTACTCTGTCCACTCTATCTGTTCTCTGTGCCTGTACTCTGGGGGCCCGGGAACTGGGCCGCCCACTGGAATCGAAGATAAGTGTTCGCCAAGATCTGGAACCCGGAACCCAGAGAGCCAGGCACCTTAGAGCCCGACTGCTACCGAAATCGACATTTTGGTTTGGCTCTTTCGCGGAATCCTTGCAACCTCGCCGCCGCCGCCGCCGCCGCCGACGACGACGACGACCACGACCACGACCACGACCACGACCACGACCACGACCACGACCACGACCACGACCACGACCCCGACCCCGACCCCGACCACGACGATGACGACGACGACGACGACGACGACGACGACGACGACGACGGCGGCGGCGGCGGCGGCGACGACGACTGCAAGCACCGATTGGGAAACGCCTCTTCGGACAGGTGACCCCCTACAGCTTTGCTGCCTCTTGCTCTCCCTCTTTTCTTCGACCTCCCTCCTTCTCCTCTCCCCTTCACGGGCAGTGGGCCTCCTCTTCTCTCTTGTCCTCCCTGTTCCCTCCCCCTAATTACCTCCCTCCTCCCCCTCCTTCCCGCCCTCCATCACCCAGAGGGCGACTCTCCGCCAGGTGCGCGGGCCCCTTTGCGCGTCAGGAGGATGAGGCCCCACTGGTGCCTTCTCTCTCGGCTGGCGATGGCGAGGACGATTCCGACGAATCTTCTTCTCGGTGCGGCGGCACTCCCATCCATTGCCGTCGTTGCTCGCTCTGTGAGCACTCAGGAGGCGATGGGCGTGGATCTAAAAAAACAAAAGACTCCCTGCCTTCCCCGATTGGGCGAAACGCCTTCTCCGACCGGGCGACCCCTCGCCCCGCCCGTGCCCGGCGCGCCCCGCGCAGGCTCGTCCAGTTCCCGTCCTCCGCGACGGGAGGGCCCACGGCGCCCGACCAGGACCGACCGCGCCCTGCGCCGCGGGCGCCGCGCGCGCGAGAGGGGGACGCCCGCCGCGCCCCGCCCCCTCCTCCGCCTCCTCCGCCTCCGCCTCGTCCTCCTCCTCCTCCTCCGCCTCCTCCTCCTCCTCCTCCTCCGCCTCCGCCTCCGCCTCCTCCTCCTCCGCCTCCTCCGCCTCCGCCTCCTCTTCCTCCTCCGCCTTCTCCTCCGCCTCCTCCGCCTCCGCCTCCTCCTCCTCCTCCGCCTCCGCTCCTCCACCTTCTCCGCCTCCTCCTCCTCCTCCTCCTCCTCCTCTCCTCCTCCTCCTCCTCCTCCTCCTCCTCCTCCTCCTCCTCCTCCGCCTCCTCCTCCGCCTCCTCCCCCCCCTCCTTCTCTTGGCGTGCCCACGCGCGGCGCGCTAACCCTGCGGGGTGACGCGCGCGCAGCGGAGAGTGCGCGGGTTGGTTCCTGGCGCATGGGGATCATCTGCTCTGCAACAGGCCCAAGAGGATCCCCTGCGAGTGAGCCAGTGCCAGCACCAGTCCTACTGGCAGGCGGCGACAGGTATGATACAGTCACACAGCAGCTGTAGACAGGCCCAGTCGGGCCCTGCGGCCAGCTGCTTCTTCCAGCGCGCTCGAGCCCTCGCGGCTCCGGGCCGTTCGCCGGGAGGCCGGCGCGGAGAGGCGGCTGCGAGGCCACGTGCTGCGCGTCGCGGCGGTCCGTGCGGCTGCTTGCGTGCTGCTGCCTCTTGCGGGCCGTCTCTGCCCCGCGTCCGCGCCTGCCCGTCCGTCGTCGAGGCTCGGGCCTCCCAGACCCCCCGCGCGATGTCAAAAGATCACGGCGGGTGTTTTTTTTCGACCTCCGGGGGCCCTTCCCGGGCCCCGGGACCGTCAAAAAACGATTCCGGGACGGAGAATCGGTCCTAGGGAAGGGGTCCAGACCTCTGGGGATCGACGTGAAAAATTCATGACGTCGGAGGTCTGGGTTTCGAGGGCCCCGGCTGCTTCTGCGTTTGCGTGCTTTTTGGGGATCTCCGTGGACCTCGGGAGACCCCCTCCTTTCCGGGGGGCGATCTTGTTGTCCTTCGTATCCGCCTCTTCTTTCTCGTCGTAGTTCTTCTCCTCCTCCCCCTCCTCCTCGTCCTCCTCCATTCTCGCAAATGACTCCTTCCTATCACACCCCCATGCGTGTCGGTAGGGCGGGCTGGGCGTTTCGCCTGAGTCTGCCTCACGCCTCACCATTTTGATCCTACAGCTCGAAATGTGCAACAGCTTCAAGGATGGAGGGGGGGGCAATATGTGGCTCCTGCCTTTGCGCCGCGAATATTCGTATTAAAGCTTGCAGCAATTTCAATGATGGGGGGCGGGTTGTTTTCAACAGGTGGCTCTCGCTCGAGCGCCTGCACATTCGTTTTAAAGTACACAACAGCTTCGAGGATGGAGTTGGTGTCGTTTTCTACATGCGGCTTTCGGCTCAGCGCCGTGCGCTGTTGTTGTACAAGTGTGCAGCAGCTTCAGGGATAGAGCACAGGTCGTTATCAAAATGTGGCTCTCGCCTTAGCGCCCCGCGCATTCTTGTGAATCTTTGCAACAATTTCAAGGATGGAGGGCGGCTCCTTGTCAGAATGTGTCTCTCGCCTTGTCGCCGCTCGCATTCGCCTTTCAAGTTGCAACAGCTTCAAGGAGGGAGTAGCGCTGCAGGGATCCAGGGCGTTTCTTTTTTTCTAAGTTGAGCTGTGGCTTGATTTCTCCTCGAAGCTCATGACCACACGTGTCAACAGATGCAACACTTACACGGGTGGGGGGGTCTGTTGTCGAAAGGGGGATATCGTTCGACACTTCGTTGATTTGTATGATCATAGTGTTTCTCTGTCCTGAGTACGTGCCAGGAAGATCGAGGCAATTCTTTTCCAAAGCTTGGAGCTCGCCAAAGTGGCAGGCCCAACTATGCTGGTCTTTCCATGGGGGCGCTTCTTGTAGTGAAGGACAGCTTGTAGGGATATATGAGGAGGGGACTTGGGATTAGAGAGTGTATTGTAGCATCGCTGATGCTTCTTTGGTTTACTCTTGTCCTCCTCCTCCTCCTCGATCCCTTCTGCTTATAAGCATCTCCCCTTTGTCACACACCACATGCCAGCAGTTTTGTTTTCCATGCGGCGATGTCTTTGTTTCGCGTTTGCCTCGCGTGGATGCATCAGTGCGTGTTGCACATGAGCGTGCCTTCGTGCCTTTAACACGTGCATATGTACATGTGTTCCTTCCATGCAGACCTGCGTGCTCCTCGGGAGCTTCCCATCGTGATGTAGCATTGCGCCTTCCATCTGAGCTGCTTCGTTGTTTTCCACGTGAAGGTGCATGTGCCTTACATCCTCGGAAAAAAACCATTGAGGTTTGCAGGTGTTGTTTCTGGTGGTGTGCTCTTTCGCCCCCGAAACCTTGCAACGGCCTCAATGATGGAGGGCGGGCTGTTTTCAACATGTGGCTCTCGCTTCAAGCACCGTGCACATCCGTTTAAAACGTGTGAAGCAGCTTCACAGACGGAGAGCGGGTCGTTTTCAACATGTGATTCTCGCTGTAGCGTCGCGCACAGTTGTCGTAAAACGTTGCAACAGCTTCAAGGATGGAGGGCGGTTCCTTTTCAAAGTGTGGCGCTCGCTTTTGCGCCTCGCACGTTCGTCGTAAACGTTCGTAACCGTTTCACGGATCTGCAGGGTTGTAGTACGAAGAATTGTGTGTTGGCGCGATTTAGGTCGCAGAGCGCGACAGTCACGTTGATTCGCGGCGTTGGAGTCCCAAGGGAAGTGTCTTGGCACAACTTAGGACTGTCGGACAGCAACAGTCGCGTTGATTCGCGGCGTTGAAGTCCCCAGAACGGCGTTTTGGCAAGATTGAGTATTATCAGACGGTTGTCTTTCAATGGTGCACTTCCCGCAATGAACACATGTATGTATGTGTATGTGTCTGTCTGTCTGTCTGTCTGTCTGTCTGCCTGCATGCATGCATGCATGTATGTATGTATGTATGTATGTATGTATGTGTTAAATGTATGTCTGTGTGTATGTGTATGTGTATGTTTGTATGTGTATGTGTATGTGTATGTGTGTATGGAAATATGTATGCATGCACGTATGTATGTATGTAGGCATGTATGCATGGATGCATATATATATATATATATATATATCTATATATGTTTGTATGTATGTAGGTAGGTAGGTAGTAATGTGTATATCTTTTTATACAGATATATACATATGCATGAATATATGAATATATGGAGATAGGAATATACGAATATCGTATTATACATGTGTATCTGTACACATGTATGCATGTATATACACATATACCTGTAGGTATGTGTATATCTGAGGTTAGGGGGTGAGATCGCAGTGGAACGGAGACCCCCCACCGGGAAATCGGTTTCGGTTTCGTATTCGTGTCGTGCGTGAGGGCGAGGCGAAGCTGCGCGTGATCCTCCTGTAGCTAGGCCGAAGTAGGAGCGAAAGTCCGTTCCCGTCCGCCAGTGGCCGGGCGGTGTCCCTGGTGTCCCGGGTGTCAGTAGGAGCGAAAGTCCGTTTCCCGTCCGCCGGTGGCCGGGAGGTGTCCAAGAGTTGGGCCGGGCGGTGTCCCGGGTGTCTCGGGCGTCCCGGCGCTAACTGGTGCATACTGCTGGTGCATATTGCTTCTTCTCAATCAAAGTGTGTCCCTCGACGCTCGCACCCTGTTTTTTGGACAGGGAAAGTCTTGGTGCTCAAACTGTGCCCCTGGCCCCCCGGACTACAACAACAACGGCTCCCGCCTGAGACTTCCTCCAAATTTACTCAGGACCCCTGCTCCCGTCTGAGAGTTCCTCCAAATTTACTCAGGAACGGCGCTCCCGCCTGAGACTTCCTCACAATTTAGTCTGGGTAAAACTGCGTTGTTGCTCCCCCGGATTACAACAACAACGGTTCCCGCCTGAGACTTTTTGTCTTTTCTTTTTCGTTTCCCTGTTTAGGGGCTTCTCCAATTACACGTGACCAGGAAGGAATAGAACCCCCCGAAAGGGGGTACGATCAAAGACGAAGAGGGCGGGTATCCAGGGTTTGGGATATTCATAGTGAATGACACGCGGGCCGGTAGGAGCGAACAGTCTTGGAATGATCGTTGTTGTTGTTGTTGCTGCTGTTGTTGTTGTAGTCTGCGATCGCGCGAAGCCTGCTGGACTCGGTGATTCCAGAGCTCTCGTGCACTGCTGCGCTCTGTGCCCGGCCGCTTTTGCCACGCAGCGCGCTTTGGAGTCGCACTCGAGAGCCAATCCTGGAGTTCGGACACCACTGCGTGAATTCATTTCCTCTTCAATCTGCCCGTGCTGTGGTGTGGACTTCCGGTGCCGCGTGCGCTGCATCACCCACCTCAGCGGTTATTGTCGCCCTCGATGTGCAGATCTTGTCAAGAAGCATTGCAAGCGGCTCCCCCCCGATGGGGTGGAGCGCCTCGATGCTCTCGGTACGAAGGCCCGCCGTGGCGCCCAGCGTCAAGGTCACTCCCCACGTCCTCGCAGCCCTCCCTGCCATGAAGCCTGACTGAACGTAGCCGGCTTTCTGGCAGCGAGCCTGCGCAGCCGTGATGATTTGCCCTTGAGACTCCAAGCCCTTGGCGAGCAAATGCAGGGGTCTATCAAGGGAGGACTTGAAGGGAATGTTTATTGCAACATATTCGATGCGTCTTGGGTTTGCACTGGTTCTCCTCCTCCTTTTCCTTCTCGTCCTCCTCTCCCACCCTGCTGCTTTAGCGTGGTGGTTATTCGCCTTAAATGGAGGCGCGTCCAGCAGTGCAACGGAATGATTGCAGAGAGTTCTGAGGAGGGGACTTGGGATAAGAGGGTGTGCATCGCTCATACACGTCCTCCCCCTCCCCCTTCTCCTCCTCATCCTCATCCTCATCCTCCTCTTCCTCCTCCTCCACTTCTCCTCCTCCTCCTTCTCCTCCTCCTCCTCCTCGTCCTCCTCCTCCTCTTCCTCCTCCCCCCGTCCTCCCCCGTCCTCTGCGGCAGGGGAAATTGGTCAACACGCGTGATGCGTGTGTCTCTCGAAGTGGAGACCCAGCCGCCTAAGCTCCACTGTTACCTAACAGCTTGTGCTGATAGGTTTCTAGTAGGGTCAAAAGAGAGCATCATGACACTCCAGGGGGGTCCGGGCGGAAGCCGGCAGAAACGGGGAGAATCCGGCGGAGGTCATTCCGTGCGTGCAGGTACGCACGGGAACCACCTCGGCGCCATCGGAGGTGCGTTCCGTGCGTGCAGGCACGCACGGGAGCCACCTCGGCGCCATCGGAGGTGCGTTCCGTGCGTGCAGGTACGCACGGGAGCCACCTCGGCGCCATCGGAGGTGCGTTCCGTGCGTGCAGGTACGCACGGGAACCACCTCGGCGCCATCGGAAAAGTGTTCCGTGCGCGCAGGTACGCACGGGAGCCACCTCGGCGCCATCAGTGAGTTCCGTGGGTGCAGGTACGCACGGGAGCCACCTCGGCGCCATCGGAGGTGCGGCTGAGGCTGAGGCTGAGGCAGGCTGAGGCTGAGGCTGAGGCTGAGGCTGAGGCTGAGGCTGAGGCTGAGGCTGAGGCTGATGCAGGCTGAGGCTCATGCAGGCTGAGGCTGATGCAGGCTGAGGCCGCAGGAGTATGCGGGAGCGCAGCAGGCTGAGGCTGAGGCAGGATGAGGCCGAGGCTGAGGCTGATGCAGGCTGAGGCTGAGGCAGGCTGAGGCCGAAGGGGTATGCGGGAGCGCAGCAGGCTGAGACTGACGCAGGCTGAGGCTGAGACTGAGGCTGATGCAGGCTGAGGCTGAGGCAGGCTGAGCTGACTTGTCCTGTGGAGCTCCAGTGTCACAGAAGATGCATATGTAGCTTCCTCGTCGCATTAGAGGCTCCAGCGTCACCGAATTTGTCCTTTTACCGTCGCTGTCGTGCCGCGGGGCGCTTCAGCGGGCAATCATGCGCATGAAGTACGCCACGCGCCTGCGCGCTCACGAAGAGGGCCAGGGCGCCCTGTCGCCTGCGGGCGACCGCGCGGGCTTGCCCCCGCAACAGCCAAAAAGGGCATGCCCACACGCCGGCTAAAGCCTAAAAGGGCTTTCGTCTACCTGTTCCTTGCCTCCCGCTCTCCTCCTCCTTCTTCTTTCATCGACGTCAGAACCACCTGCACTCGTGCGCAGCCGTGGATAGTGAGATACGGTGCTCCTCATCACGTTTCGTTTGCGGCTGAATCCATTGATAGCAGTGTCTCGTTTGGACTTACATCCATTGATAGCAGCGTCTCGTTTGGAATGAACACAAAACAATGTGCTGTCTCGTTGATAGCAGTGCCTCCTTTGCAGAGACATCCACTATTGATAGCAGCGTCTCGTTTCCAGACGCATCCGTGGTAGTAAGTAGTAGTGTCTCGTTCGAAATGAAATCCATTGATACTCGTGTCTCGTCTGGGGCGGAAGCCATTGATAGCGGCGTCTCGTTTGCACCTACACCCCTGCATAGCAGCGTCTCGTTTGGAATGAACACAAAAAAGAATGTGCTGTCTCGTTGATAGTAGTGCCTCCTTTTGCAGACACGTCCATTGTTGATCGCAGCGTTTCGCTTCCAGTCAAATCCGAACGTGGATCTAAAGAAGAACGCTTTCATATATGCTCATGCACATGGTTGTTCGGTTGCTTTGCTGGGATAATTACCTAACAGCGAAGACTGATAGGTTTCAAGTAGACTCAAAAGAGAGCAGCAGATGACTCCACAGGGGGGTCTGGGCAGCCGTTGGGGACGAGTTGGGGTTTGCCGGCCGGGATCGTTTTTCGCATGCAGTCACACACTTCGTGCTCTTCGACCTCCCAGAACTCCATTCCCGGGCCACATTCTGAATGCCCGGAGCCAACTGTAGGCCACTTCGTGCTCTTCGACTTCCCAGAACTCCATTCCCGGGCCACATTTTGAATGCCCGGAGCCAACTGTAGGCCACTTCGTGGTCTTCGAGTCCCCAGAACTCCATTCCCGGGCCACATTTTGAATGCCCGGAGCCAACTGTAGGCCACTTCGTGGTTCGAGGAACGGAGAACTGTAGGCCACTTCCTTCGGGTTTGTAAGAGCCAGAACAATTTTGATGCCCGGAGCCAACTGTAGGCCACTTCGTGGTCTTCGAGTTCCCAGAACTCCATTCCCGGGCCACATTTTGAATGCCCGGAGCCAACTGTAGGCCACTTCGTGGTCTTCGAGTTCCCAGAACTCCATTCCTGGGCATGATTTTGAATGCCCGGAGCCAACTGTAGGCCACTTCGTGTTCTTCGAGTTCCCAGAACTCCATTCCCGGGCCACATTTTGAATGCTGAGGCAGGCTGAGGCTGAGGCTGAGGCAGGCTGATGCTGAGGCAGGCTGAGGCTGAGGCTGAGGCTGATGCAGGCTGAGGCTGAGGCAGCCTGAGGCTGAGGCCGAGGCTGAAGGCAGACTGAGGCTGAGGCTGAAGCAGGCTGAGGCTGAGGCTGAGGCAGGCTGAGGCTGAGGCAGGCTGAGGCTGAGGCTGAGGCAGGCTGAGGCTGAGGCTGTGACTGTGACTGCCGTTGCCACTGCGACTGTCATCGCGAATGCGACTACGACTGCGAGAACAGCACAATTCTACAACTGGATTCTCATCTGAATCTTAAGGGGAATGCTTCCAGATATGCTCCTACACATCGCTGTTAGGTTGCTTTGCCGGGATATTTTTTTGAAGTCATGCAGCATTCGATTGATCTGGCCGAGCGGTTCCAGTGCGGCCCGCCGCTCCCTCCTCCCCCTCATCCCCCTCCTCCTCCTCCTCCTCCTCCTCCTCCTCCTCCTCCTCCTCCTCCTCCTCCTCCTCCTCCTCCTCCTCTTATTCATCCTCTCCCACTCTGCTGCTTCAGCGTGGTGGTTCTTCGGCAACCCCGCTTGCCAGCCGAGGATCGAGGGTGATGTGCTGGCTGTTGCAGCGGAGGGCCCACCACCCCCTCCATCCTCTCCCTGCTCTCCCAGAGCCACTTCTGGCCCGAGGCGCTGCCATGGCCGGCCCGCGGCCCTCGCGAGCCCCCCTCCCCCCTCCCCGCCGCCATCCGCCAGCGGGCCATGGACGCGCCGGCCCGCTCGCCTGCGCGGGGCAGGCTGTGCTGCTACTCGCTGCTCGCGGCGGGCGTCGCGGGGGCCCTCGCCGCCGTGTCGCTGGCCGACGGCGACTGGGCGGCGCCAGCCCTCGGTCATCAGGAGGGAAAAACACACCGACACAATTCATCTTCGATTCCCCCGAGAATATGGGAAAATATGGGAAGTGGGGGGAAGACAGAATGTGTCTATCTATTATTTGCGTGTCCCAGGGCCCCTTCAGGTCAGAGCCAGCTGCAGCTGACCCCCGCGGCGCGACGGCGGACCGACCCGCCCCGGCCCGCGGACCGCCCCGCGGCCGCGCCCGCGGCGCCCCGCGGCGGCCTGGGGCCGGCGAGGACCTGCGGCGTCGGGCGGGTCGACGGCCACTCCGAGTACGCTCGCGGCACAGGCCGGAGGAGGGCGGGCGGGGGCGGCGGCGGCGGTTGGCCTTCGGGGGGGGGGCCCTCGTCGCCGCGGCAGGAGGCATGCCCGGGAGAGCGGGTGCGTCAGGGGCCCCGCCGGGAGGGGTCCGGTCGCAGGCCTAGAGGTTGACACCACCACCAACTTCGGCGGTGTGCCTCCACCGAGGGAAGAAGATCCCGATCTCGGATATGGTGGTAATATTCTGGCTTCCAAGGTGGCCGAAATATTACCACCACCACCGAAATCTAGGATCACCTTCCCCCTGTGGAGGCAACCCCCTGTGATGGTGTTGGTGTCCATTTCCAGGCCTCCAATCCAGGGGCCGGTCTTGAGCTGCCGTTGTCTCCACTCGCTCTGCTCCGAGCATGGGTCCCTGGCGACGTCGACGAGGCGATGCGCAAGAGGGCTGCGACCTGCACTGCGCATGGCTACGCGTGCGGGGCGCACCCGCGGCTGTTGCGGTCGATGTCCTGGACGTGGTCCCCGGACGGGTGCGTGCTGCGCCCGTTCGACCCCGGTGAGCTCGTTCGACTTCTCGCAGGGCGCACCTTGTGGTTTTTGGGGGACTCGATCTCGATGTGCATGGCCAATTCGCTGACGTGCCTTGGCGTCAAGAACAGAGCCCACCGATACGACCACCTGGGTCTTGGGTTTAATCAGAGCGAGCTCACGCCGATCAACGATCTTCTCGGGCCGGATGTGGTGAAGCTGCTGGACCTGCGCACCAAGTGGAGGAAGGTGATCGATCACCTCGGGATAAAGCCGCACGACATTATCATCTTCAACACAGGAGCTCGTCGTCTCGATGTTGCGCAAGATCTTGCGCAAAAGTATGGCGACCTTGCGAAAGTTATCCAAGCGGCCTTCGGCCCATCCCGCAACCGTGTCAGGGTAGCGGACCAGAGGCCTTTCGGACGCATCTTGGGGGTTCTCGGGGAGCATCTTGGGGGCCTGCCTTCCGGGACCTCTTGTCGTTGACTTTTCTGGGATCTTTTGGATTCCTCTGGGTGGTCCAACGCGACCTGGAGGCGATATTGCCGTCGGTCCGGCGGAGGTCTTTTCTGGCCCATCGCGGGGCTCGTTGGGTCATCCTCTCGAGGGCAAAACCGAGCGTCACGTGCACAAACACACCACACACACCACACATACACATACACACACAAACGCACACACGCACACACGCACACGCACACGCACACGCACCCCTCCCTCCCACACACACGCACACGCACACACACACACACACACACACGCAAACACGCACGCACGCACGCACACATACACACACACACACACGCACGCACGCACACACACACACACACACCCACACCCACACGCACACGCACACGCACACGCACACGCACACGCACACGCACACGCACACGCACACGCACACGCACACGCACACGCACACGCACACGCACACGCACACGCACACGCACATGCACACGCACACGCACACGCACACACACAGACACAGACACAGACACAGACACAGACACTGTGTTGTGCTGTGCTGTGTTGTGATGTGCTGTGTTGTGTTGTGCTGTGCTGTGTTGTGTTGTGCTGTGCTGTGTTGTGCTGTGATGTGCTGTGATGTGCTGCCACACACACGTGTGAGTGTTGGCTCCGTGGGACAAGTCCAAACACATTCATGGTGCTTTGCTTGTAATATTCTCCTTGTGACAAGAGTGCCCCTTTCGGAAGGCACGAGCGTTGCTCTTTCCTTTTCCGTAGCCTATGGCTTAGGGGCGCCCTCAGATATCACCACATGCAGCCCCTTGTACTGAAAAGGTTGTGTTCTCTCTTCCGTCGCTGCTGCTCTCGACAGTTTTGATCTCACAGTTGGTAGCGGAGCCTCTGGTATCGACCAGGGGCCTCCAGCTATTGCATGGCAGGCAATGGCGACGACGAGCAGCGGTCGTTGGAGAGCAAGGACGCTACCGGGGACGAGGTAGGCAGCGCTGGAGATCTAGGCCAGCGCCCCGAGTCGGGCTTCACAGATGCCCAGAGAGTCGAAATTACACAGAGATGATGACGGCCGCGATTCAGGCCGCCTTCGACTCATCCAGAGTCCCGCGCAGTACGTCTGAGGGCGCCGGCTGGCAACACGGGACTCACAAATGGATACTAAGCCAGCCGATCCCTGGGTCACAGAGGACCCGTGGGACAGTTCGTGGCGAGGCGGCTCGAGTGCAGCATGGGATGCTTCTGATTCGTGGGGTAATCAGGACCGCTGGACTCATTACAGCCGCAGCCAATTCGCAGATCCGGATGGCCGGAAGTGGACGAACTCCGCCAAGGACCACGACGCCGAGTGGGTCACCAGCTCCGGCCAGCGCTGGCAGCAGACGTGGAGCTCGGCATCGTGGAACAACAAGCCAGATCTGGCAGGTCCGCCAGACTGGATGGGGTGGCCGGACTACAAGCTGTGGCGACGACGGGTGAGGCGTTGGCTAGACGGAACGGATATCCCAGTGGCCAAGCGCGCAGACCGTCTTCTGCAGACTCTAGATATCGACATGCAGCGCCAGATGCAGGATTTGTCAGATTCAGTGCTCACGAGTGCAGATGGAGCCCAGACCATTTTGGCACGGCTAGACACTCTCAGCGGAGAACGGCACGACGACGATCGGCGCCAAGCCGGTCGCGAATGCCTGTTCAAACTACAAGCGCAGGTCGACGGAGACCCTGTCGCAGTATAGTGTGAGGATGCAGCAGCAGTTCGACCAGCTCCAGGTGCAGGGCCTCAGCTTAGATGACGAATGGAAGAAGTTGTTCCTCGAAGAAGGAGTGTCGCTAGAGGATTCCGCACACCAGATGCTCCGTGTGATGACAAGGAACGACTCCAGCTTCCAGGGACTGCAGGCCGCCATTCGGGAGATGGACATGTCACGCAACGAGTACCTCTCCGCGGCCGGCAACAAGAAGACGTATCTCGAGGTCTCGACCGACGGCGAGACCTTTGCGGTGGCTAAACAGGAGGACGACGAAGACAGTGAATGGAGCATGGACAGCCAGGAGGAAAAGGAGATCCTCGTGACCATCGAGAACGCTCAGGTGGACGAGAACGAGTTAGGAGACATCCTGGCCGTGCTTACCAAGGAGAAGAAGAAAACCTGGAAGGAGAACAAGCAGCTCAAGCGGACTCTCAAGACGGACCGCAGATATTTCAAGACACCAGAGCATGGACATCGGGAGCGGCGCGGAGATCGGGATCGAGATCGCAAGAAGCGCCTGAGCCCAGAGGAGTCGATGAAAGTGACCCACTGCCATCGTTGCAAGCAGAAGGGGCACTGGCAGCGAGAATGTCCTCAGGCCAGCGCTCAACGACCAGACCACGGCAGCAGCTCGAAGACATCATTCTTCGTCAACGGGCAGGCTGGCACCGGGATTGTTCTGGCCTCGTTCGCTCTCGAGAATCCGACGGGCGAGATGGTACTGCTGGAGCTGGCCGACCTCGTGCTCCAGACCATCTCGGAGGTGCGACGTGGTCGTGATGAGCATGTCTCTCTCTCTTGACCGTCGAGGGCGGGTCGATGGTGGTCGACACCGCCGCCGGCCAGGCCATCATAGGACTCCCTGCTTTCGAAAAATTAGACAGGGCACTTCTGAGCAGAGGTTTCAAGATCCCGAGAGTGCCCAGTGCCAACAAGCACGCCAACGGGGTCGGAGGCCGCATCAATGCGATCACCGGGATTTTGGTGCCCATAGGCCTCGAGGGTAGAGTAGGAGTCATGGAAATGGACGTAGTCAAGCAAGATTTGCCTCCCCTGCTTCCCATAGGCATGCAGGCGGCTCTGGGGGCGACCGTCTCTCTGCCAAAGAATGAGATGAGTTTCGAGCAACTGGATGTGCGCACGCCCATGTTTCAGCTTCCTTCCGGGCATCGCACGATCCGGGTCGACAAGCTGGGGGATCCCAGCGCCTTTTCTTGCCCTGAGCCCGTGCGCCTGAAGCATGGGGTCTCGAACGCATCGTTCCGCGCTGAAGGAGATGCAGAGTACAAGCTGCCACTTCCCTCTGCCCCTTCGTCTCCGCCCCTGGTTTCCGAGTCAGCCGAAGGGAGGGTTTCCGACCCGAGGAGAAAAGGACAGGGCGAGGTTAACGGGCATGGCGGAGGAAGGACCCACGGGCCCCCGCAGGGCTCTCAGGTTCAAGGCAGTCTTTCCTCTCAAGGGGCCATGGCTCAAAAGGGTCTCCCAAGGTGTCCTCCAGGAGCTCCCCTCGGGCCCAAGAACCCCTCTAGCCATGATAGGAACTGCGTCGTCATCCCAGAGAATGGACAGGAGCAAGGCAGTCCGGAGCTTAGCGTCCCGAGATCCGAAGTCCCAAAGTTCAACACCTCGGAGCAGGCCTGCATGACGGGCCCCAAGGAAATCGACCACTGCGCAACTCACGGGACTTCGACAGCTCCGAGCATGCCGGATCAGCGTCCTACCCCGACTTTCTCGAGTTCAGTTCCCATCTTGGCTCAGACGGATTGTGGTTCTCGCGACCAGCGGATCCTCGAGGCCTCCGAGTTCCACCGCTCGGAGCAGCAGATCCATGAGCGCCGCCGCCGAGGCAGTCCCAGCGGTCCCCGCCGAGCCACTACAGCCTCTGACGTACCGGCTGACCAAGAACGAGGTGCCGCACGATCTCCCGAAGCCAGCGAGTCTCTGGGCAGGAATCGTCTCGAGGCTCTTTATCAGGTTGGAGACTCTCTGGGGCGGCATCCTACAAGCGGCTGCGACGGGGAGGCTGCACCCTCAGTCCTACAACAAGGTCCAGAGAAGGTTCACCCCTGCCCAGATGGAATGCCAGCATCCAGCAGATCAGACATTCAGCCGCAGCAACAAGGACGGAGAAGTGCGGAAGTGCGCGGTATGCGGTCTCCGACTGGCACATCAAGTTCTACGCTCGACCAGCATAAAGGAGCCAGCCCAGGTCAAGAAGGAGGGCTCGCGCGGGAAGCTGACCCAGAGGGGAAAGCAGGAGCCTCTTCCCGGGGCGGCGTCAGGTCTGTGTCCTCACCTCCGCCGCAACGTCAAGGCAGAGATGTGCGAGGCCGAGCCGTCCATGAAGGGAGCTGTTCCCAAACACATGAGGGACCGCGGCATCCACGAAGTGGAGCAGTACAGCGAGATGACCCCCATGGATGTCGACGCCCTGCCACAGCGTCGCCGCACACGGCTCCCAGTGGACGAGCCAGACGAGAAGCTCTCCCAGGCGATGAAGGAGATGCGGGACATGCAGCTGGCTCTCCTCAGGTCCAATCAGGAGATCACCGTGCAGATGGGCAACCTGACGATGCACGTGTCCCACCACCAGGCACAGCTCCAGGCGATCCAGTCGGCGCACTCAGCAGCTTCCCCGACGCCGACGGCCGAGGGTTTCCACCTGGTGCCGCAGCAGGCTCTGAACCAGGATCTGCGGGAGCAGGGGCAGCCAGCCCAGTTCGACCCAGCGAGGATCCCAGTGGATGCCACCAAGGGGGACCTGTCTCACCTCACGTGATCCGACAGGGTCTCCGTCAGGCGGCCAAGGAGGGACCTCCAGGTATGCTGGAGCGAGTGAGTACCTTGAGCCAGGTAGACGACACTTTCATCCTCTCTCTCTCTGCCATCCCCAACAGCCTCCACAACCAAGGACCACGGGATGAAAAGGGAATTTCTCATAACATACACGCTCTCAGGAGGATCAAAGAGAGATTCGGGGATCAGAGCGCTTTCTGGACGTGGAGGGACGGGTCATGGGAGGGACCTTTCCAAGAGCTTCCGGACGACGTTTTTCACGAAACCTCCACTTTCCTTTCGATTTATGAGCCCGACTGGTCGAGGACCCTCTTTTCGGACTCCCTGTGCGACGACTG